CATAAAACATAATCTTTATAAATTGTCATTAGTTTTACTTTTAGACTCCGAATTGATACAAATTTCATATGTTCCTTCAAGATATATTTTGGAGATATTTCACGTTAATAGAATGTTGAGAAATATAAATACATACAATGAATGTGACTTCAAAGTTTAATGTCTTAAAAGATTAATCATCTAAAAATATTCCATATACGTAGAACATAATATTTATAAATATACATTAATTTTACTTTTAGACTCCGAATAGATACGAATTTCATATATTCTCATCTTACTTGAAAGTAGTAAAAGTGTCTTCATTGACTCCACTTTACTCTCGTAATATACTAAAATAAAAATGATGCTTTTACAAGTAGTTAAGATGTATATATACCAGCGCTCTAAAAAGTGCGTCTAGGCGTCAAGCACGGACAAAACATCTAGTTTCGAGCTTAGGCGTGCCTAGGAGTGCTTTTTTGGCTCCTAAACACACTTTTTTTTTTCAATATGATATTTTGTAATTTTAGATGTTTCATAGGTATTATTTTAATTATTAAATAAATTTTAGATTGATTAAAAATTAAAAATAATATTAAAATAAGAAACGCCTAGGCTCACCTAATTCGAAACTTGACCTCCAGAGCTGACCATGTCTTACTTTTTTAGAACATTGATATAGAAGACTATACTATATGTGTGTAGATTAATGTACATATACATCAAACATAATAGGTATATATAAGTCGCAATCGACGTAGTAGAATACATTGTTTGAAAATATTTCGTGTACATGGAATGTAGAGAGCAATACATCCGTATATTTAACGTGACTTCAAAATATTCCATACATACGGAATCTAATCTCTAAATAAGATTAGATTTTAAGATTTTATGTTTGAGTTCAATGAAAAAAGTAATAATTTTTTGAGTCATATCCCTTTCGCGGTAATAAGAATTTTAAGAGTAGTTCAAATGGACGAATTACAATTTTTTGGTCCACTCGTTTGTGACATACCTAACGAAACCTTATCTTAAATTATAAAATGAGCAAAAATAAGCTATCAACATCCATATGACATGCACTAGTAGACCATTTCTCCCCTTATTAAATTGATAGTCAAGCATTAAATGTAATAGTATAGTAATTAATAATAATAGGTAGGGGTGGACATGGGGTGGTTCAATTCGATTATCTTTAAAGTCGGATCAAATCGAATTTCATTGAAAATTGTGAAAAATGAACCACCGGTTATATGAGGAAAATGAAACTGGATTGGACCAATTCTTTTTATGCTTCGGAAATAAATTTTAAATTTGGTGCTTCTCACTTAGAGGTGTCAAGACGGACGGGCTGGCTATGACTCGTGAAAATCGGAACCACGGGCCGACCCGTGCCCGTGCGGGCGGTTCACGGGCCAAGGAGGTGTAACTCGCGGGCTTCGCGGGTTGCACCCCCACGGGCCGCGGGTTAAAAAAAATTGAAAAAAAAAAATAAAACAA